AGCTAAAATCTAACCATGGTTATATAATAACAGCTGCATTCTGTCGTGATAAGCTGTATGTTTTATATTCAATTAACGTATGATCTGATTAGTCGACTAATCGAAAAAATAATCGGTGATTAATTGATTATGAAAATAATCGTTTGTGGCAGCCCTATGTGCCAGCAGGAATTGAATTTGAATCGCTCAGATTGAATCTGAATGTGCATAATTTGAAATTGAATGCATTGGTTTGAAACTGAATTTTACCAAATTGAAACTGAATTTAAAGTTTTGAAACTGAATTAAATTGCTTTGAAACTGTAATTTTGGTTTATTAAAAATTCAGTTTGATTACTTTCACTTTCTGTTCCAACATTCAGATTTTTGTGTCCCACATCCTGGTCCTTGAGAAAGCCAGSCAGAGTAATCAAACACAGATCCACAGATTTATGTTTCACTTTGGTGACGTTTCCTTTCGGTATTTAACAGAGTTGATGCAATCCACTGTAAAAGTGACAAAAACAAAGTTATTTTATTGCAGTGGTTAATTTTACCTATATGTAGAAAATGTTACATTTACATCACATCATGGATCAGTCAGCAACAACATCTGATCAATATGTGATCCATAATGACTTGTGGCAGGACGACAGCACAGTGGTTAGCACCGACYCCCCACAGCAAGAAGGTCCTGGGTTCGATCCCTGGTTCGGACCTGGGATCTTTCTGTGTAGAGTTTGCATGTTCTGTTGCTGGATTTTCTCCGGGTACTCCCGTTTCCCCCAAAACATGTACAATAGTTTGCCTTCAGGCCCAGGCTGCACTTGAAAAAGAAATCTGAGATCTCAGTGGGACCTCCCTGGTAAAATAATGGTAAATTAAGTAGATTTTGTGTCAGAAATTTACTTTGARACTTAAGTACAAAAAAATATCCGATAATTTAAGACTTTTACTCAATATTTTTAGAGAAGACTAACTTTTACCAAAGTATTTTTATGATAAGATACTTGTACTTTTACTCAAGTATCACTTTGAGGTACTTTATACAACACTGCTTTTACAGTGGATTGCATCAACTCTGTTACATACAGAAGGGAAACTTCACCAAAGTGAAACYTAAATCTGTGGATCTGTGTTTGATTACTCTGGCTGGCTTTCTCAAGGACCAGGATGTGAGACACAAAAATCTGAATTATGGAAGTGAAAGTGAAAGTAGTCAAACTGAAATTTTTAATAAATCAAATTACAGTTTCAAAGCAAATTAATTCAGATACAAAACTTTAAATTCAGTTTCAATTTAGTGAAATTTATTTTCAAACCAATGCGCTCAATTTCAAATTCTGCACATTCAGATTCAATCTGAGCAATTCAGATTCAGTTCCTGCTGGCACAAGATTTATCCCATACTTTACCTTCATCCTTTTTTCTTTAAATTTCCCGGTCTTCCTCACTCGTTTCTTATCCTTATTTCAACCTGTCCCCTGTGACAGAGACTGCAGTCAGAGTTCCCACTGATACTGTAGCTGCTGCACTATTTATGTTCCCACTGAGAACTTTTATAAACTTATACACATTTCCCAAAAGACGCAGATAAAGAGGACAGACGTGCTCGAAGTCTAAAACATCTGTCTTCATTAAAAATAAATAAATAAAACATCCGTATAGATATTTAGTTCAGAGTTCTTTTAATGCTGTACCCTTTTAACTGGCTTGAGGGAAAACTCATGTGCGGAATTAAAAAACAGAAATGTAAATCCTTRATGGCGTGTGTTTACGTGTTGGTTTTGTGACTCTCAGGTTTGACTARGAGGGTCTGGACCCGCGTGCAGCCTTTTACCTGATGAGGGACCTGGAGGGCGTCATCTCAGACAAAGCCTTCACCAGTCAGAAGTTTGCTGTGGGCGATCACATCTACAGCGTGGAGAAGGCTGAGAACTTCGAGTACATCGACCCGGTGGATGGATCCGTGGTTCGGAACCAGGTTAGCGCGGGGGCGGTCATTTTATTTTATTTCATTTTATTTGCCATTATTTTACCAGGCAAGTCCCATTGAGATCTGAGATTTCTTTTTCAAGGGAGGCCTGGCTATTGTACATGTTTTTGTGGGGTGGGGGGAACCGGAGTACCCGGAGAAAACCCACGCAAGCACAAGGAGATCATGCAAACTCCGCACAGGAAGACCCCAGGTCCGAACCGGGGATCGAACCCAGGACGTTCTTGCTGTGGGGCGTCAGTGCTAACCACTGAGCCGTCGTGCTGCAAACTGCTGTTTGTGACTATAAATGAAATGTCTAAAAGATGTCGTGTTGTTTCATAAAAACTAGCTTAAGGCTAATCTGCAGCCTCTTTAGTCCAGTTTGGTTCAGTTTTTAGATGGCTCGTTCTCAAGTTTTTGTGAAAACTTGTGTTTTTAGTTAGTTACAAAGACCCCCTTTGGCCATGATGATGGGACGCACCAGTCATCGCAATGACATTTGGTTTTTCATGCAAAAGCTGCAATAAAAAAAAAAAAACAACAGATAAAAATCTAGGAACAGTGAAGAAGTGATGGTATATTACGGAATAAGACTTTGTTTTTTTCCCCTTCTGATTCCCATCAGATGATGATGTTTTTCTCAGARGTAATCTTTGTGTTCAGTTGAACCACAAGGCACCAAACATGGTTAAGTTGTAGCTCTGCATTATTTGGTTAAGTGTAGCTTGATGAATAAAGCACAAAGTTGAAATGTTTCTCAGACAGTTCCCACCAATTCATCAAAATTATGGAAACATTTAAACAAACACAAGTCAGCCTTTGATTTAATTTAGTTTAGTMTTGAGATTCCAGCCAAAAGTGAAGTCTTCTTAACTACGAGCTTAGCAGTTTAAGTTGTGTTTTTAATGAGAATTCATTATTTTTACTTTTTTGTTTTATAAAAAGTGTGTGTGTGGGGGGGGGGGGATGAATGATTTACTGTGCTGGTGTGGAACGTCAAATGCTGTAGAAGCTTTAATATTTCAGGGTTATGCTAACTGGTCACGCTACCTTGAAACTTTTGTAGCCGTGTACAAAATGAGAAATATAACTTTGAAGTGACAACAAAATCTGGTTCGGTTCAGCTCAAGTCTGCTCCAAGGTGTCCCACTTGTTGATTTGTTCTTTCTTTTTAAACTAAACCACAGACCACCTACTGAGAGGCTCCATGTTTGGACGTGTTCATCTGTCTTTTGTTTCATATCATAAACACAAACGGCGTACGGCAGGCACATGGCCCTAGGAACGTTGATAACTGGGTCGGTGCAACCTTCCTGTCGCTCTCCTTTCCTCCTYCTTTGTGTCCTTAGGCGCAATACCCAATACCGTCTTATCAGTTTTAGGTCCTCATTCACGGGACTAAATGGGTCCTTCTTTAGCTTCACCCTAAACATAATCAGGAAGTCAGAATGGCTCGCGTCACGCCGCCGCAACAAACTCCACGGCTACAGCTCGTTAGTCAGTATCCCCAAAATGGTAAATCCGCAGCAACCCGGTCGCCCCGCTGAATGTTTTTACAGCGCGCATTCCTCCCCYGACAGAATTGTGTCAGCTGTCGTCCCACTTGCAGCCTCCCCCCATAGCAAGGTGGGGACGAGCCGGCGCACACAGACATTTAGATTTAAATATAAACACACCAGACAAAGCCACCAGTTGCGTGGTCGTCTTCTGTTGAACTGACTCTTTTAAGCTCTTTTGCGTATCGGATGGTTTTATAACCCTGTTTTTGCCTTGATAGGTGTTTAATTTATCACCTGCCTGATTTTATGTGTCTGTAAGACTTTAATTAAGTTAATATTTATAGGTTTTCTAGAATATGTGAGTAAATTTAACCTTATTTTCAGCTGGTTTCACTAAACTTTAACCCAGGTTTTGTAAATCCAATTCTTCGAGCCTTGATTTTTAAAAAAAAATGAAACAGGATACAATTAAAACAAGTTTTAGCCAAAATTACMTATTTACAGCACAAGCACGTTCCCTTGGTGTAATCACAGCCTGCTTTTTGATTCCATGTCGAGGTTTGTTTTTCTTTACTGAGGTGTTTCAGGTTGTAAAATAAGTACACACTCTTAGCCTCGGAGCTGTGCAGCAGGTGGTGTTTTTAACCAGCATTAGTCTGTCAGCCCTCTGATAACTGCTGCTCTATTGTTAGAGATGAGCTGGCACTTTCACAGATAGAGAGACAGACAGGCGGGCAGGCGGACGTCTCTCATTATCACCGTCTCTCTTTAAACGTACGCTCACTTCCTCTCAGCCGTCAGAGGAAAGTTGGAAGTAAGCAGAGAGCTATAACACGGTTTTAAACGTTTATCCGCTTCAGTTCCACTTGTGTGAATATGATAACATTCTTTAGACTTGAGTAGAAAGTCTTTAAATAATCTAAAGAATGAGCTTTTAATTAATTTTATTATTTTTTAACATTTGTTTTACCCTAATGGGGATAAAATGACTACGCACTTAAATTTAAGACAAATAAAAGTGACAAGGTTTTTATTTTTCAAGTTATTTAGCAAGAAGTGGTGGCAAACTGAACCCATTTAGGCTTTTTAAAGTGTTTTTTTACTATAATTTAGCTAGAATTCAGATTTATACTAGATATTAGTTGCTTTAAATTGATGCACATTCATTTTAAATACTATTTTAGGACTAGAAGACAATAAATCATGTTATCATGTTACTTTAACTCTGTGGTGATGACCGCATACCACTTTCCAGTCAACATTATGAGGGATGTTAGACACTGGATCATGGTGAAGAATTTAACCCAGGCTTTGCTAAACACACACTGACAGTGCCATCTAGTGGATATTTGCTCTTACTACATATGTAAAAATGTTTTAAAACAAGTTTAATATTTAAACTTTGTGTAGACTGAAAGTTTATGTAGTATTCAACTTATTCTAAAAAAATCTTTTATTTCCATTCAAATTCAGCACCTTAAATATCTTTAATAAAACAAGTTTTTTTGTTTTGTTTTTGTTTTGTTTGTAGGGTTTAAAGATCGTCTTCACTGATGCGTCTCGTCTCGTGTTTCGGATGAGCGGGAGCGGCGGAGGGACGGGCGCCACCATACGGATTTATGCCGAAAGCTTCGAAAGGGACCCAGAGAGACACAGCAGAGAGACTCAGGTAGAGATGTGACGATGTGTTCAAGGACCCGATTTTATCTTATTTTGTGATTTCTGTCTTAAGTAATGAAACGATTATTTCTCCACCTTTGAACAGTTTGTGCCTAACAATGTGCCATTAAAAAAAAACATCAAAATGTTAAGTCCAGTTATTTTTTTTTACCATGTATGTGGAGGTTTTTCAAGTATAGGTTAAAAACAAAGCTTGACTTCTTACGGAGGCTAAGGCCACCAGCCCACGAGATTTTCGAAGCTTGGCTTTTGTCTTTGTTTCAAATATTTCAGAGTTTGTGTTTGTTCTTTCTGCAGGTGGTGCTGGGTCCTCTCATCGCCATCGCCCTGAAGATCTCAAACATTCATGAGAGGACGGGGCGGCGTGGCCCCAATGTCATCACATGAGCTACACACACACACACACACACACACACACACACACA